GTTTAGGGTTTAGGGCTTCGGGCTCTATATAAGCCCAAAACCCACTTTCCCAAACCCTCACTTCAACCGAGCGGACTTCGGATCGCGTGCCTTGAGTTCAGAGCTTCGAGATACTTCTATGTAAGGGATCTGTGATAGGGTTTAGGGTTTAGGGTCTATATTACAGTGGCAATGTGGAAGCCAATATAGTTAGTTGGAACCCGAAACACTGAAGGCCGTGCCCCCCAAAACCCTTCAACTCCAAACCCTAAAATCAGCCCTGAACCCCTAAGCCTGAACCCTAAACCCCCAAATCCCCACAAACGACTCAGCACCAAACCCCAAGCGCTCATGTACTCAACCCGTATATACTTCGTCCACAAAGTACCCATATATAGGGTCCGCTTGAAGCACCAATGTAAATACTACTTACTACATGAGCACAGAGACCCTTAGGGAAACTGCCAAAGCCCCAAACGGCTACACCCTGAACCACTATGCACTAAACCCTTAACCCCTAAGCCCTAAACCCCTCAGGCCCTAAAGCCTTAAACCCCAAAACCCCTATACCCTGAACCCCGAAACCCCGAACCCCTAAACCCCAAACACCTAAGCCCTAAACCCAAAGCCCGTACCTTAACCCCAAATAATCTACCTTTTTTATGGACTTATATAAAGAAACCATAATAAGGAACCCTAAACAAGTAGGTTCTTTAGGGTCCAGGTAAGCCCTAAAGCCCAAACGCCTAAGCCCTAAACCCAAAGCCCCTAAGCCCTAAACCCCAAACGCCTAAGCCCTAAACCCAAAGCCCCTAAGCCCTAAAGCCCAAACGCCTAAGCCCTAAACCCAAAGCCCTAAAGCCCAAACACCTAAGCCCTAAACCCAAAGCCCCTAAGCCCTAAACCCAAAGCCCCTAAGCCCTAAACCCAAAGCCCCTAAGCCCTAAACCCCAAATAATCTACCTTTTTATGGACTTATATAAAGAAATCATTTTATGGACTTATAAAAAGAAATCAGAATAAGAAACCCTAAACAAGTAGGTTCTTTAGGCCCTGAACCCCAAACGCCGGGCATCTTCAGCTTCCAAGTCTTGAAGCTCTTTCGCGGCTTCTTCGTGTTCTGAGCCTCAAGGGTGTTGGGTCTACGGTTTACTTAGGGTTTAGGGTTTAGGGTTTACTTAGGGTTTAGGGTTTAGGGTTTACTTAGGGTTTAAGGGTTTAGGGTTTAGGGTTTAGAATGTAGGGCCGGGGGTAGGGTTTAGCTTGTTTGGTTTAGGGTGTAGCAGTGACAAGCAAAAATCGACTGATGAACCCAATACCCTCGACACAATCACGCAAGCCCTCCAACTTAAACACTCAACTGTCGACCCCTAAACCCCTACCGCCTAAACCCGCAAACCCCTTCACCCCACACCCCTAAACCTCCAAGCCCTAGACCCCCCAATTTGCAGCGCGGTGGCTTCCTCGGTCTTTGACCACTCGTCCACCTCCATGGCGAAAGCCTGGAAGGCCTTGCAGGTCCAGGGGTTAGGGAATCCATCAGGGTTTATGGCTTAGGGTTTAGGGTTTAGGACTTAGGGTTTAGGATTTAGGGCGTAGGGCTTAGGGCTTGGTGTTTAGGGCCAGGAATCCTCTGAAGGGGTCTATTTAAGGCTTCCTTTGGAGGCTCCGCCAAGGGTTCCCGAAATTGGGCTGCAACAGGGGTTCAATCCCAGAGTTGCAGGTCAAGGTCTGAAGGAACCTTGTTGTTTTTTGCTTTTTTTTGGGGCTTAGGGTTTAGGGTTTAGGGTTTAGGGTTTGGGGAGGGGGGAGAGTTCATAATGTGGGGGGCCTTGATAATTAGAATAGGGTTTGTGGGTATCATATCTACTTATAATAAGGAAACCCCAAGCAAAGAATAGAAGTAATTCTTAAGGCCCCAATGTTACACGCGGATTGGAGGCTTCAAGGTTCTCCGGGGTCAGGGGTTCAGGGTTTGTGGTGAAGTAGGGGTTTAGGGTTTTAAGGGTTTAGGATTTAGGGTTTAAGGTTTAGGGGTTTAGGGTTTACGGTTTAGGGTTTGGGCATTTACTTCAATTCCTACGGCATAGACCCGAATTAGAAAGTTTCGTCTTGAGGCTTCGGTTTCAGAGATGCCACGTGTCTGAGGGGACCTCAAGGAATGACAGCGTTCGCTACCCCAGAGTCGCTGTGGCCACCTGAAGGCACAGAGGGAGACGCAAAACCCTAGTAATGTTGAATTCAACCCCTATCGAAACACAACAAAATCAGCATAACATCCCTAATTATAATAAATAAAAATTATAAGAATCCCAACAAAATCAGCATAAGATCCCTATACAAACCATAAACACTTTATCAAGACCCTGACCCTGAATCCGAATCAACCCCTACCCGCCCCGAGGCTGCGAACCCACGAACCCAGGGTCCGAAAAGGCCTCACTCGTCTTGAATGCAGCGAGCTCCTCGTGCTTTCCAGTTGCACATACTTTCGCGGCTTTTTTAGGATTTAGCCCCCCTAAACCCTAAACCCTAAACCCTAAAGTTTAGGGTTTACGGTTTAGAAAAAACACTAGACCCTAAACCCTAAACCGTGGCTCTTTAGGGTGTATAGGAAGGGTCTAGGCTTCATACTTGTTTAGGGTTTTAGGGCTCTGGGCTTCAGGGTTTAAGGGGTTAGGGTTTAGGCGGTTTAGCGTCTAGTACCCTAAACCCTAAACCCTTAGCGGTTTAGGGTTTAGGGTTTGGGGTTTAGGGTTTAGGATTTAGGGTTTAGGGTTTGGGGTTGAGGCGACAAAAAAGGAATTTCAATGGATGGGTATGCAGGAAACGAACTTCTCTGCAGGGAACGCGTCTTCAGCTGCCAAAAACCCTAAACCCTTAACCCTAAACCCTGAATCCTAAACCCTATAAGCCCTAAACCCCTAAACTCTAAACCCTAAGCCCTAAAGCCTAAAGCCACACCCTCTTTCAATGGGCTCCCTGGTCTGACCTTTGCTTTTCTTGCTGCCCTCCCAGACCCTCATGAAATAGTCTCCGGTACAACACCGGGCATCATCTATCACAGCAAAAAATAATGCACTCCCATAGGTTAGGGTGCTCAAGTGGTTGCCGGATGTTGCCCAAAATTCTAGACTCCTGAACGTTAAACCCCTTAACCCTATAAAGTCCAAGCCGCCCTCTTTGGGCTGTAGGGGTTACGGGTTGCAGACTGGGGCTGAGGTTCTCTGATGTAGTGCTTCGGGTTAGGGACGAGGGTGTGAAACATTTCCTGGGGGCTCCTAGGATTTGGAGCCAGGGGTTGGGTTTCAGGGCAAGGGGAGGTTAGGATTGAAGGGTTTCGAGTCTAGAGTGCAGGGTTTTAGTGCAGCGTACCGCTTAGGATATGCTGTGCCGTATTTGTGTTTGAGGGGCGAGGGAGCAATGCCTGCAGCTCATGGATTTGGAAGGCTTGGGGTACTGCTTGAATACACCCTAAACCCTAAACCTTAACCGTGCTGTCCTCAGCATACTTCTTCCTGTTGTCCAGCTCTTGCTGCTTGTACTTGGCCTGGCCGGATGAGGGTCAGTGTTTGGGCTTGCATGGCGCCATTCACCAAGCGGTGATCAAACGATTATGTTGGAAAATGCTGGATAGACCTTTTTTCTGACTCCAAAGCACAGCTGACTGAAGAGCAATAAACTGCACAGGCCACGCAAGAGGAAGGAGCGGTGCTGGCACCTACAGTGCAGCTTCTTTGACATAGCCAAGTAGTCGGCACGCTATAGGCGTTGCATGTTCAACCCTCCAGCTTGGATGGGAGTGGTCCTACGGCCAGGCTTTCAGGCACAACACCCTAAACCCCCAAAGCCTTAGTCCTAAACCCTAAAACCCCAAACCCTAAACCCTAAACCCTAAACCCTAAACCCTAGACCCTAAACCCTAAACCCTAAACCCTAGACCCTAAACCCTAAACCCTAAACCCCTGAAATGAAGGCCCTTTGTGTCGGAGTCTCGGCCTTCTCCTCCTCAGATGCCTCGTTCCACTTCGTCGCCAGCAACTTCAAAACCTCGAAGTGCTGTGTCGGGGCTTGGGGTTTAGGCGTTATAATATTATATAATATACTATGTTTTAAAATAAGATAAGATAAGATAAGATAAGACAAGAAAATATACTAGAAGGTTTACGGTAGGGTGCAGGGTTTGGGGTTTGGGGTTTTCGGGTTGAGGGTGCAGGATTTAGGGCTGGGGGATTTAGGGTGAGTTTAGGGTTTAGGGTTTTAAGTCGTAGGTTAGGGTTCTTGAGGTTTGGGGTCTTAGTGTTGGGATTAACTAAGGCATGTCCCTTGGTGTCTGTGAGTGTTTCGGCGATTGTGTTATTTAGGTCTTGGGGTTGCGCGTTGGTCGACAACTTGAGCTTTGTGCGTCTTCTGGGCACCCCAATGCCTGCTCCAAGCCACCGTAAGGAGTCCATCGTTTAGGGTATTTTTCAACCCCAAAGCCCACATATTCGAAAGCTGGTCCTTAAAGCCCCCAAAACGCTAATCTATAAACCCTAAACCCTAAACACAAGCCCTAGACCTCAAACCCCGAACCCTCACCCTATATAGTGTATGTATGTATATATATATATATATATATATATATATGTATTGTATATATATATATATGTATATGTATATATGCTTGTGATATCTATCTATCTATATATATATATATATACGTGTGTATGTATATAATGCCTTAAAATACACGTATAGCGTATATTCTTAAATCTTAAAGTACCTATACAAGAACCCTTGAAGGCCTAAGTATATACGTTGTTGGCACATGGAGCCTTAAGGGGAAAAGGCGGGGGTCCAGGCTGCGTCGTTGTCTTTCCCTAAGGGCCCATGTGCACAAGAATCATATACTTTCGGGATTAGGGTATGGGGTTTAGGATTTAGGGTTTAGGGCTTAGGGTTCCGCTCAAGGGTGAGTTGAGCGCTTTTACCAGAGAGGCTTAGGGTCTAGGGTCTCTGGGTCCATGTAGCCAAAAAGCACCTGCTTTGGCCTTACAGTAGTCCCTATATAAAAACTCTGGGGTCAAGTTTGATACTATTTGGGCACATGGACTCTTGAGAGCTCGCACAATATACCCGAAAACCACTGTTTAGTTATTATAAGGCTTATAAGGCCTCTATATAAAGCAAGCATGCCCTGCGCAGGAATATCAATGATGATGATGATGATGGTGATGATGATGATGATGATGGTGATGATTATGATGATGATGATGATGGTGATGATGATGATGGTGATGATTATGATGGTGATGATGATGAATATGATGGTGATGATGATGATGGTGATGATGATGAAGGTGATGATGGTGATGATGATAACGGTGATGATGATGATGATGGTGATGATGATGATGGTGATGATGATGATGATGATGGTGATGATGATGATGATGATGGTGATGATGATGGTGATGATGATGATGATGAAACCTGGCTCTGTGCTATAGAAGACTATAGTTTAGGAGGCAGGCACACACAAACTACCGCTACCTATTCAGTGTTACAGTGTTGTACACGTGTTGAGGATTGTGTGGGGTGTTCAGCGCCGCATTTCCTAACCCCAGCATCTCAGTCTCAATCGGTCAGCCAAACACCCCTAACCCTAAACTCAGAAAACCTTAGACCCGTAACCCTTAACTCTCAAACCCTGTAAACCTTAAACCCTTAACCCTAAACCCTATAAACCTTAGCCCTTTAAACCCTAAACCCTGAACTCATATAAAACCTTCAACCCTTAACCCTAAGTCCCCCCAATAAAGTCAGTCGGGGGCTGCTGGCCTTCGTCTGCAGCTCCATAGCAGCTTTGCCTCCTAAAGGGTTCAGGGTTTTAGGGCTTCGGGGTTTAGGGTTTTGCCTCTTAAGAACACAGAGAGCCCAACACGCCCTCATACGTAGTGAATCTACGACTACTTCTAGGAGGCTTCATACTACCTTAGCCTACCAAAACCTAGTTTGTTTGTAGTGTCCCTACAATAAGAAGATCCTACCAGAAAAGAAGGTTTTGGTAGGTTAAGGTGTGGTTTGAAGCCATTTAAAGCATTTTCCGCAGTGAAGACGTGTTGAGCTCGCCGGGAAGGCTGCTTCTCCTCAACTCTGACCCTGTCTAACGTCTAAAGCCCTGAACACTCACCACCATTGGTGCTAGTGCTGCTATTAAACGGCTGCTTACCCCACAAAACCAAATCTAATTCTAACCATTCAGAGTATGCAGGTCTATATATGAGCGGCTGACTAAACCTATGGTTCGACGTAAAGCCCGCGAGAACTCAGGTCGGCCCCTATCGGTTACGCAGGGATCAGCTAGAATATGCCCAGGGGTGACCCCTATCGGTTTTGCAGGGATCAGCTAACCGAACATAGGTCGGCCCCTATCGGTTTTCATACTAAACCTACTTTTCCAC